CATGACCCCATACTGATTCATTCATTTAATAGTTCAAAGTAAGCACCTTAAGCCATTACATTTACAATGTACATGCATATGTACACAATGTACATGCATATGTACATGTATAGTTATGTACATGTATTTGTATATGTATCATTTTTCATTTGCTTTATAGAAATACTTATAATTTTACGAGAGTTTTACACAGTTTTAAACCAAGTGTCGTTATATTGTATGATGCTGATATAAAGCTAACTAGACAGATAGAGGTACTGTAATTATTAAGTTTATTTTTAATTTCTAATCATTGTCACTTTCTCCTCTCTCTTCCATCTTTTTTTTGATAGATATTTAAAGCTACCCGTCGTGAGATTCCCCTTAAAGTATATTTCCTAGTTTATGATAGCTCTGTGGAAGAACAGGTCTGAAGAAGAAGGAATAATGATGTGACAATAGTTTTTATATTTATAGATGTACCTGGACTCCATTAAGAGAGAGAAGCAAGCCTTTCAGCAACTTATTCAGCAAAAAGCTGTGAGAGAAAGAGACAGAGAGGGAAAAAGATAGAGTTGAGAGAAAAGAGGGAGGATGGGAAGAAAGAGGAAGCTGAGAAAGGAAACGGAGAGGAGAGAACACTTGTATGTATGTTTATGTATGATTTCTTCCTATAGCATATGGTTATACCAGCAGATAGAGAAGGAAGAGACACTGGTAATACATTGTTACAGAGAGGAAGTGGAAGAGGAGAAGAGAATGGCAAGTCAAATAGCACCAGAAAAGCTGGAGGAGCCACCAAACAAGAAGAAACAAGACCAATTGTGAGCTTAACTAATTTTCCTTAAATTTTAATTGCATGTATCATTTAAAGGTTATTGTTGATATGAGAGAGTTCAGGAGTTCACTTCCATCAATGATACACAAAAGAGGAATTGACATCATCCCTTTGACAATAGAAGTAATGTCATGATGATGATTATGATGACAATAATCACAATGTTGTTTGTTGTGTTGTTGTTGTAATTGTAAATGTGTTGTTAGATGTAGAGTAAAGGCCTCCATACACTA